GCGGCCGCGCGGCCGCGCACCTTAGAGGGAACAGTGCATGGTAGGGGCCATATGAAGAAGGCTGATATCTATGATTCAAAACAATGTGTAGTTTAGAGTTCAGTTTTTAATTTACCCAGAAATTATGACTGATAGCCACTGTAATCTAGCAAACGGAAAACCTGGAAGACTTAATCCCAGGCATCCTGCTATCTTTCCGTTTATGTCTTTTATTTATAAAACAGAAGTGAATGAGCTACTTTAGGACTGCTCTTTTTTTTTCAAATATTCAGCTGAAGGACAAAGTTTATTGTAAATACTACAGATATCTTGCCTAACAACTTTAATTGGGACCAGCAACGTTGTTGCTAATCTAAGTGGTTGCTAAAATGGGAAATTAGGTAACCTTAATTGTGCTTTCTGGCTGGAAAGAGACAAGACCACTCAGTTTCACACTTCACTTTTGTTTGCTTCCTAAACACTCTCCTGCCTTGGCAGTGTTCGAGTGCCTGCTTACTATCTTATACACACTGAAAGCAAAGCAAATGTGCCAGAGCCTAGGCTGGGAGCCATGGGTGCACTACCAAAACAGCTTGCAATAGTTTCTTCTTCTCCATTCTCTCTGTTCTATGGGGAAGGAGAAAGCAAGCAATTTCTGTAGAAAAAAATTCTTGCTTGACCCTTCCTCCCATCCCCACTCACAAAGTGGAGAGATTGTAGAGGGATTTCAAGAGAGCAAGATGCACATCAACAGCAATGTGATCAGAGTTGTGGATACACTATGAGGGGGTGGGGGAGAGAAAGCAGTTTCTGTAGACAATCTCCTTTGTCTGACTCCTTCCCGGTGTTGGTGGCACCATCACATTGCTTTTGGGGTATAGAACAGCAAATAGCTTGCTCTTTTGTAATTCCTTCCTCTACAATCTCCTTTGCAGATTGGTGAAAAATTCAGCTAAGGCACATGATAGTGTTTACTGACTATAATGGTAATCATGTGAGTAGGAAAGGCTGTGAAAATCAGAAATGATTGGAAATTGGTTGTAAACTATTTTTTTTAGCACCGTCATAATATATTCCCAATGAATTCCCAAGGAGGCATAAAATTATATATATATAATTTTATATATTTTATTATAAATAAAGCTACATGAGACAAAAGGACAAAAAGCAGAAGAGGATAATTAGAACTAAATTAGCAAAATTAAAACTCTTTTTTGCATGTTATTAAAAAGTATATAGGAGAGTCATAAGTGACTCATTCTTCATGAACATTTCTACAACTCCACATGTGGTAGGCCCATATTAAAATGCCTATGTAATAATCACAATCCACATTTCTTGATAAACCAAAGCAGAATTAAACAAGGTTGAAATATTGGGCAGAACATGGGTTCTGGAATTATTTTTAATCTCTTAATAGTAGCTCCATTTTGGGTTGCATGGCCAGAAAGGAAGCTCAGAATAGAGCCATCAAGACTTCTGAGCCACCATCCACTTTCCTTCCATTGGAGCAGAACAGGGTATTAAATGGGTGTTTTTTATCTGCAGCCCTTGGTCAGATCCAATCTATGTTTGAATGTGATCATCTTCCACAAGAGTCAGTATCAACCTCCAGGGATTCATGTGACTATCCATTATTGTTATTATATCCATAACAATGTGAAATCACAGCTGCCAGTTTAGCTGTCATTGGCCTTCATACTCATCAAATTCTTCCCAATAATTTAGGAAGTTGTAATGTATTGGCGTAGTTAGTATAGTTGCAGATCCAAGCAATATGACCTTTTGTAATTCTTAGATGAAAATTTTGTCAATGTACAGGTTTTCTAAGTGCTGTCCAAGATTTTTTTGGTATGGCACCCAGCGTGCTGATAACCACCACAGCTGGATTATGCCATAATCTTTCAATTTCAATTTTCAAATCTTGATATTTTGTGATCTCCAATTCTTTGTCTTGCTCTACTATTCCCTAATATTACCATATCAATTGTCCATACTTTTTCCTTTTCAACTTCAGTTCAATCTGGTGTGTTATGAGCCAAAATTATATCAGTTTGTATTAAGAAATCCCACAATATTATAACCTGCTCATTTTTTATGACTTTTTAAAATACCAGTTTTTCATTACAGACAGAGTGTATTTTACAGATGTTCCAGTGAATCATTTTGACAAGTATATTACATCATTGTTTCTAATCAATTTGTGTGATCTTGCATGAGCTGAGTATATGATGTACTGTTTCTTCCGCTTCTTTGTACAATCTGTACTTTGAATCATTTATAATATAAAATACAAAAGAAAATACTAGAAAAGATAGGGGAGAGAAAAGGGAAAGGAGAGCTGTAGAAAAGAGCGGGGGGGGGGAAGAAAAGGCATTGACTTCTACTCCCTGTGGTGCAATAGAACAAACTAGTAACATCAAACCTCAACTTTTTACTTTAAATAGTAGTATAAACTAGTCATTTCTATAATAACATGATTCTGGTCTTGACTGCATTACAGGAATTCCTCAACTTACGACCATAATGACGCCTGCCCATTATTGTCATATGTTACAATGGCCATAAAACAGGTCAGTCATGTGACCAACCCAATTTTACGAGCTTTTTTGCAGTAGTCCTTAAGCAAATCTGCAATCATTAAGCAAACACCACAATTGTTAACCAAACCAATGGTTATGTAAATCAGGGGTCCCTAACTTCTGGGCTATTTGCAACTGGGCCGCAGAAACAGTGGGCCAGCATACATGCATCCTCATTTGCACAAGCAGTGGGCACGTTTTGCATGCGCACTCCATTTGCATGAATGGTGTATGCATGTGTGTACACCACTTGCGTAAATGGAGTTGCACACATGTGCACTTGCTAGCCACTCATGCATAATCATACCCTCTCCACTGGTCCATACTAATGACACTGTGTAGGTAAATTACTGATTACTTACATCTAATCCTGGTTCCCCTGGCTTTCCCTGCATTATTAAAAAGGAGAAATAGAAAACATTGATAAGATGACAGTGGAATGGAACATTAACTGGGTTACGTTAAGCCTATCATTTATATTTTAAAAAATACCAAATCCAGGGGTATTAGTAGATTTAGCTTCAATGGGAGAATTAAGCAATATTCTATCTATCTCCTACTAATATCCATGTACTGTATTAGGACAATGCAAACCCTTATTCAGCATAAGTTTAGGTTCATCGGTCATTTTGGCAGGGCAAAAACAAAGCAAACATGATAAAAGGTTTTTAATTATTTTTGTAGATTCTTTTTTAAAATTATAAACTTAGATAGCAGATTTTCTCTTATATTTGATTTAGGCAACCTGGCTACAATACATCCCTGAATTTAAACTTAAGAAAATCTGTGTTGTCCCTTCTACAACTGTTTGCTTCCCTGAGAGAGAGAGAGCTGTCTTCTGTCTAAAAATGTAGATCCTGTCAGTATATACAAGAATTTGAGCAGAATCAAATGCCCAATGCTCTTTCATGACCAAAGGATTTAATCTGTTATGGTATGCTAAATATATCCAAAATTTAAGTGACTTTATAGTATATTAAAAACGAGCAATGCATTTTAATGATCTTTTTTTAAAAAAAATGTTCAGTTCTTACCTTCTCTCCTTTGGTACCTGGTAAACCAATAAGTCCAGGAGTGCCAGGAGGACCCTAGAAAAAATGAAAATTATCAGGAAGGTTTGGGAATATCTCCTCTGCTCTACTGGGCGGGTTTCATAAGGCTCTCTTACTCACATGTGGCCCAGGGGGTCCTTTTTCACCTTTGTGGCCACTTTCACCTTTTGCACCCTTTGTACCATCTGAGCCCTTAAAGGAAAACAAGTATTTTGATTAGACTTTCAAATAATCACACGCTATTTAATAACCTGTTTTACGTCTGCTTCATAAATCAGTTGCATTTGCACGGAGTTCCATGGCACCCACTTTTCTCAAGGGAAATGTAAGATAGTATAGTCTTTAAGAAACATGTTTCATGTTATAACAATGTACCTTGAAAAAATTACTATTGAAACTAATTCATGCCAATTAATATATTTTGTCCTCACTTAAACTAAAAACACCTCCCCCCAATAAAAAAGCAACAAAAATAATCTCCATATAGTCAGTAGAGAATCCCCTGTATAAATCAATGTGTTTCTGTTCAACCGACACCTGAGAAAGTCATTCCAAAATGTTTGTTAGCATTTCCAACATTTAATACAATTCAAGATTGTTTAGTAGGAAATAAACAAATGTAAGGTGTGTTCCCTAGCAGTGTAGAACTGAAAGCCTTCTTTAGAGAAAAACATTAGAATTTGCTGACCAAAGACTCCTTTGTAAATACGTACAATGAGATATGCCTAATGCTTGCTTTCAAAACAGTAAGCTAAATATACAGTGATTTGGGGGTATCTGCATCAGAACAGGTTGAAATTAGATTTTTATGGGATGTATTTCCCCCAGTTTGATTCCTCCTGATTTAGGTGAATGTTTCCATAGACTTCTTGAACAATGTCTTTGAAAACTTATTGCAAAAGTTGTTTTATCAAAGAAATAAACTGCTATAGATTCCACTTTCTAAATCCATAACCAGAATTGATCATCTGAATAAAATATTTTATACTTGTATAGCCTGCCTACTTTTTCTTCAAATCAATGTTCTGTTGTCAATTAACTTCTCAATGCCTATGGTTTTCTTCCATCCAAGATCTACTTTACAATTATAAAATATATAAGACAACATATGATCTGTTATGTCTTTGTTTGTCAATATAGAGGTAGAAAGATTGACTATGAGCAGGCAAAAAAGGAGTGGGAATGACTTCCAACTTCTTGCTGTCTTCTCCAGCGACTTTGCTGATGGGAAGCTGGCAGGGAGTATAAAAAAAATCACAATTTCATGATTGAAGCTGCTGGTGGCACTGCTGCGATGGAGGCAAAGTATTTGTTCTGTGATGCACTGTTTCAACTCATTGAAGGACAAAGAGAAAAAACAGACAGAACAGTTTTTAGCAATAACAGATTAAAACTTTTTATGACACACCTTTTGTCCTTGACTTCCTTGAGGGCCCTGTAAGATAACAACAGAACATTTCAAAATAAGGCCTTTTTAAAGCTATAGGTTTATATCTAATAAAAATCTTCAGATTTTTATATTAGTAATCCACTTGTGTCCCCTCTTATTGAAGGCGATTCAGTGCAGTAGAAGATTATGTGGAATGAAAAGATCTTTTTTCATTGTTCTTTGGAACAGCCTCACTGTTGAGATAATACTTTCCCACACTTTGATTCATTTTCAGAAGAGACTAAAAATTGAACTATTCCAAATAGTTTTTTTGGACCATCTGAGTTTGAAAGCTAGAAATGAGTTTTGAGGTCATGTTATTAGATAATCTATAACACTGCTCCAGGATAGGATGCAGAGCTTGGTCATAAAAACTGGATCCCTAGGTGGCCTGAAGAGTTTAGCGCCATGTACTGCTATTGATACATACATATACAGGGTCTCCAAGTAGAACCTTTAAAGGGTGTTCTTGATGGAGAGAATGGAGTGTGACCTATGTGCAGAAATTATAGACTCATAGAAAGGATGATGAAAGAAAAATATCTCAGCAAGTTATATTCCTTTGGGAATTTTATAAATAAATAAAATGAAGTGATAATGGCCATTAACGTGACACATATTAGTGGAAATATATGTATTATTGTCCCAGGTTTAACAATTAAGGACTCACCTTATGTCCTTGTATTCCTTGAGGACCCTAGAGACAACAAGTATTCATTTGTAAAACATTCTAAAATAATATTGGAGGTTTGAAACATTTGTACTCAAAATGTCAGCATTACAAAGCCAAATTTCCCCAACCAATTCCAGACATTTTCAAGATAACCTATACTCGATGGGAACAGAGTAGTTGTATATCAACATTTGTGGGGCCCTATTACTCATTCCTGTTAATATTAATGTTATTATCAATACCGAATATGAAAAACGCAGTTCTAAATGTTTGTTACTTTGGTATGCAGGAATATGTTACCTTGTAATCAAAGCTATTCCATTTATTTATTTATTTATTTATTTATTTATTTATTTATTTATTTATTTATTTATTTATTTAT